TGAATTTGTGCATGGGTGGGGTCCAGCCAGCCTAGCCAGGGAGAAGAGACATGGGCAGTTGGCCGGCCCACCTACTGGTCGAACTCCTGGTCGAGGGGACAATTTGCATATTAGCCACTGAGTGTATGTATAAATGGCAAAGGAAATAACCCTGCAAATAGTGAAGAAATGAAAGAATTATAGCAATGCACTTGACCACCTAGAGAGGAAATGGACTTTATAAACTGCAGTAACAAAGGTGCTCATCATTTTTCAAAAAGCAGCATCTAGCCCAGCTGATGTGGCTTGATAGTTGAGCATGACCCAGAAACCAAGAGGTTATGGGTTCAATTCCCAGTCAGGGTACGTGCCCAGGTTGCAGGCTGGATCCCCAGTGGGGGTTCATGAAGCAGGCAACTGATTAATGAAGTTTCTCTCTCAGCGGTGTTTCTATTCCACTATCTCTCTCCCTTCCTCTCTCTCTCTAAAAATCAAAACCAGCATATTAAAAAATAAAATAAAAAAGCAGAGTCTAACAAGATCCCATTTATGCAAAATCATAAGTGAATGCGTGTGATTAAGTGCATGTAATATGTGGGGGGTGGGAGAGAAAACGTGTGGGAGTGGGATTGTCTCTGCATGTGGTGTGTGCAAGTGTGTGTGTGTGTGTGTGTGTGTGTGTGTGTGTGAAAGTATATGGTGTGAGTGATGGGGAAAGTGGTGAGTTGCGAGTGTTTTTTGTGAATGTTAGGTGCACGTGTGCATGAGCCCAGGCCCAAGCTGCTCTTAGTTAAGGGACGGGAATCTCCAGTGTGAAACTTCAGACACTCGCACCAGGCATTGGTTACTGCAAACACCAACACCGTTTCCACAAGAAAAGAACGCAGGCGAGCCAGCCCATTTCATGGCTCTAGCTTCTGCTGCAGGATCCTGCACGGCCTGGTTTAAATTTGGTCCTCCTCTCACATTGCCTCCTGCACAAGGAAGACCTGGAGATGCTCCTGGCCCTGCTACTTTGGTACTCATTCCTCTTCAGGAATAATTCTGGTTTCAATCGGCTTGGGTCAGATATCTCCCAAGTATTCTCCTGATCACAGCCACGTCTCCATTGGGAGACACTGAGGTAGCTCAGCAGCCAGTGATGCATTGTGATGAGAGACAGATGGCTGGCCATGGCGAGCTGCAGCAGTAGAATTGGTTCTTTGAATCTGGGACCTGTCACACAGCATAATTACTATGAGTCCCAGTTGCCCCACCTTCACCCCCACCCCAACTGCTGTGTATGTATCTCAGAGCTTAGCAGAGTCTCTGGTGTGGACATGCCTCAGTTTGCCCCACTGTTCACCCACTGAGGAACATTTGGGTTGTTCCCAGTCTAGGGCTATCTATATCTATAAAAGCCTAAGCAACCGTTATGACCAAACAACTAGAATGACCAGAACGACTGGTTGACCAGTTGCTATGATGCTCACTGGCCACTATGGGGCAGTGCAGGAGCTTCCCTCTGATGGTCAGTGCACTCTCACAGTCAACCTCCCATGCCCCCCCCCAGCTGGCCAGCCCTCTTAATTGGCCCCTATCAGGGGGGTGGCCAACCAACCTCCCGGGGTCCATCCCCCTGGCCGCTTACCCCCACCCCAATAAGCTTCTTTTTCTTCCCAGCCCAAGGGACCCCACCCATGCACAAATTCATGCACTGGGCCTCTAGTTATGAATAAAGCTGCCAGAAACAGTGATGCGTGAGTCTTTGTATGAACACATTCATTCATTTCTCTTGGGTAAATAAGTACCCAGGAGTGGAATCTTTTGGTCATGGTAGATGCATGTTTAACATTTTAAGACACTGCAAAACTTTTTCAAAGTGATTACAGCATCTTACATCCCGGCAGTGTTTGAGAGTTCCAATGTCTCTCCTCCACCACCACCACCACCCCACCCCCCACTCCCCACCCCCACTCATCACCAGCGCTTTGTATGGTCAGTCTTTTGTTTTTTGGCCATCTAATAGATGTTAAATATTCAGGGATTTTGAGAGTTAAATTCCACCATTATTAAAAACTAGAGGCCTGTTGCACTAAGATTCATGCAAGAATTGGCCTTCCTTCCCCTGGCTTCACTCCTGGCCACCCACGAGCCTGCAAGTCCTTGCTCCCAGCCAGAGCACGATTCCTGTAGCTTCCTCCACCTTCCCACCCTCCCCCTCATAGCAGGTGTCCCACCCCACTCACCACTCCATGCCTGCATATGCAAATTAACCCATCTTTGTTGGGTTAATTTGCATACTTGCTCCTGATTGGCTGATTGTCACCACAGGTGTATGGTCAATCTGCATATTTCTTTTTTTATCAGTGTATATTAAATTTTATTACTTCCACTTAAATTATATTAAAAATTAAGAAGATAATAAAAACTCATGTCTTATTTCACCACATTTTACTATTACCTATCATGTTCATTTGGTGGGAATCTATGTTGCAGTGTGCTGCTGGGAATGTCTTCCCAACTTCACATTCACTGACATCATGTGCAGCCTGAAATTGGCCTGGTGGAGGGATTTACACCATGGGTATCAGCATATGCTACAAACCAGAGTGTAAACTATTATTGTTTGGTTGATTAGGTATACTTGAATCTATAGTCATTCCATTATGAATAGCAAAAAAAAAAAAAAAAAAAAAGAAAAAAAAAGAAAGAAAGAAAGAAATTTTCTAATATCAAAGTGTTATCCAGTTCAGCAAAGAAGTCACTTATGTCACCAACGTATGTGTAAAGTTCTGACATACATCTTTGTTGTTTCACTTTCATCTTATTTAAGACAAACGAAACTATCAACCAACATTGTAGAGAAGAACCACGTTCATTCATCAGTTGCAATTGTGGGTGGGGTACAGATACAAGAGTTTGGCAAAAGTAAACGAAGGGGTTGTGTGAGAATCAACTGGCCACATTAAACTTATAAATAGCGCATTGTGTATGTGATGGTATATTTTGCATATATTGGAAATTTCTTTATGTGTAAATTGTGTGCTTACATCCTTCACACCAGTGAAATGTATAATAAACTTATTAAACATGAAGGAGAGGCCCTATCCAGGTTATCTCAGTGGATAGAGCATCCTGAAGGGTCCCAGGTTCCATTCTGGTCAAGGGCACGTACCTCAGTTGCAGGCTCCATCTCAACCCTGGTCCGGGTGCGTGCAGTAAGCAACCAATCGATGTGTCTCTCATATCGATGTTTCTCTCTCTGTGTCTCTCCCCCTCCATTCCACTCTCTCTAAAAATGAATGGGAAAATATCCAAGGGTGAAGTTTAACAAAAAAATAAAAAATAAAATGAAAACATTCTTTTAAAAAATATAAAGGAGAGAGAGAGAGAGAGAGAGAGAGAGAGAGAGAGAGAGAGAGAGAGAGATGATTTACATTTACTTTCCTGGAAAGCTGCTGGCACCCCATTCGTCAGCACATCACTGCTTCCAGGAAGTAGTAAGCAGGCTCCAACCTATATGTGCAGTACAGAAGGCAACAAGTTTGGCCCGACCAGTCCAAGCATGGGCTCTGAGAGCACACCCACAGGCAGGCTACCATGAGCTCAGGAGAGCCCAGAGCGGTGACAGGAAGGCACCTGGACCACCAAAGATGGGAGGGCACTGCACCAAGTCACTACTCTGGGACGATGGCAGTGGCCACAAATTGGGGTGTCGACCTGCTCCCCAGGGTCTGGAGTCCGGCCCCTCCTGGCTTACCGGCTGAATGTGAAGGGACCTTTTTGGCATCACTCACTTCATGAGTCAGTGGCCCAGGGCCTGGCCAGCCAAATAAAGGGGACTCAGCTCTGCTGGGGCACCAGCGGATCTGAGGAGCCCTGGCTGCCTAGATCCTCGTGGTGCCCCAATTCTTTCAGCTCCTGCCTGGTACAGGCAACGGACTGGAGGCCCCACCCTGGCCCCGCCTTGTGGTGCATCCCAGGTGGGTGCTTTTCTGAGGCCGGGAGCCAACTAGCCCTTCTCAGGGGGCTCCACAGTGTACGGGTCACATTCCCAAACTAGCCCCTGCCCGTCTTTCCCTTATCTCACTCCCTTCCCACCCCTTCTGTTCTGTCTCTGGCCAGGCCCAACCCCTTTACTTATTTTTTTAAATATATTTTTATTGAGAGGAGGGGAGAGGGGGAGAGAGAGGAACATCAATGATGAGAGAGAATCATGGATCGGCTGCCTCCTGCATGCCCCACAGTGAGGATGGAGCCTGCAACCTGGGCATGTGCCCTGACCGGGATCGAATCATGACCTCCTGGTTCATAGGTCGACGCTCAACCACTGAGCCACACCATCAAACTGCTTCTTTTCCCCTCAGTAGCCATCCTCCCCCTCCAGGCCCAGTCTCCCTCTCCACATAGCAGTCTGAGAAGTATTTTAAAAACAGAAACCAGATCCTGCCCCTCTTCTGCTTACAACCCTCTGTGGCTCCCCATTGCCCTCGGGGTCAGTCCGGACCCTCTGGCCCAGGGAATGCGGATGACCTGACACGGCCACTGCCTGTGATCTGGCCTCACCATTCTGCCACCTTGCACATTGTAGTGGCTCTAGTCACATTGACCTACTTAGGGTTCCCCGAACGGGCCCAGCTGGATCAAGACTCAAGGCTCTGCTCTTGCGAGTCATACTCGGGCGTGGCCAGCCCACTCCTGGGCACCTGTTCTCCCTGTCTCTTGAACATCCCTTCCGTGCCTTGCCCCATTGTTTGGTGACACAGGCGGGGCCCCCAGAAGCAGGTTAGCTGGCTCCCCAAGAAGCCCAGCCGAAGCAGCTGCCCTCCCCATGGAGCAGCCTCCAGGTCCTCCTCAGACCTTGCCCTGAGGGACACGGAGCCCAGGACGGACTCACTGCACTAGCTACCCTACCTCTTCTACACGCCTCAGGTCAGCTCTGCAGCTCAGCCCACCTCTGGGTGCAGCCTAGTGCCCCCATCACACCCCTCACCCCACACACTCCAGTGGGCCCTTTTCCTGCCAGGCGCTGTGTTAGTCTACCAATCTATCATATCATTCCATCCCAGAGCAGGGGCTCCGGGAGAGGGAGGAGCTGGCAAGAGCTGGAGCTGAGCTTTGCCCCGGTGGCTCCGCCCCTCCTCCTCCTCCTCCCAGAGAAAGCCGGAGCTCCTTGGGGGCTGGGCAGCTGCTCCTTCTTTCTTGGGGCCACAGCTGATGTCCCTACATCCCTGTTCACTCATTTCTGAGGTGACAATGCAAGGAGGCAAAGGTAGACCAGCCGAGGAGGCCAGTGGCTCGGGGCCCACAGCCTGTGAGCACTCAGGTCTTTCCCATCCCACCCCATCCCCAGCCCTGAGCTCCCTGCAGGGAAAGGCCACCAAGGGCCAGACCTGTGGGGCTGCCCCTGGGCCCTGACCAGGCTCCCTGCCTGGCCCTCTGGGCAGGACATGGGGAGCGGTGAGCAGAAAGTCAGCTGGTGAGCAGTTGGCAATGTTTATTGTAAGGCAGCGTGAAGGGTGGGAGCCTGAAGTGGCAAACTCCAGGGGGTGAGGCTGGGGGCTGGGTAAGCCAGCGCCCAGGGAAGGCCTGACAAGTGTCAGGCTAAGAAGATGCCCGGCTGAGGATGGGGCCAGGGAGAGAGGTAGTGGTCCAGTGCCTGCTCCAGACCTCAGTGGGGCCGGATGGTCAATGCTGGTGCTGCTTGTGGTACAGGAAGTGGACCTTGCCCCCCTGGGTGGTGACATTACCTAGCCCCTGGCACTCAGTCCTCCAGGCTCGGGCTGTCGGGCGGCGTGTACATGGGCCGGATGTGAGCCCAGCTGCGGGCCTGCTCGTCGGCCCAGGTGAGCAGCTCGGCGGCGCGGTGCAAAAAGACCATGAGCAGCGTGTGCACATCTCCCTCGGCCGAGTGGGCCGCGCTGGGCTCTGCCTGGAAGTAGCGGCGAAAGAGGCTGCCCAGACTGTAGCCCTTGCAGCCCTGGGCCCGGGTGCCATGGCTGTGGGCACGGTCCAGGCCCCGCAGGGCTGGCAGCGTATCCAGGCAGGTGGTATCCCGCGGCAGGTGGGCACCTAGACGCTGCAGCTCCGTGCACAGCAAGGGGAAGTCGTAATCAAAGCCGTTGTGAGCCACGAGGCAGATGGGGCCCTCCTGGCGGCTGAGGAAGGCCTGCAGCGTCCGCACCACGGCCTCGTCGAAGCCGGCCTTCCGGCACTGAGCCAGGCCCTCGCTGCTCAGGCCGGTGATCTCGCTGGCCTTGGAGGTGAAGGGGCGTTCCGGGCACATGCACAGGGTAAGCTTGTCAAGGATGCGGGGCAGCATGGGGGTGCCAGCCTCATCACGCTCTGGGCTCTCCAGAGAGGAGCGGTGGACAGCGAACAGGGATATCTCCGCAATCTCGGGGTCCACATTGGGGAGCCCAGTGGCTTCCAGGTCCAGGAAGACAAAGGTCTCAGCCCGGGGGACCTCAGACATGGTGGCGTTCGCACGGGTACAGGGACACCTAAAGTTGCCAGAGCAAGAGGCACAAAACCTGAGGGCCAGGGATGGGGCTGCCTGGGCCCGGCCACCTGCAGGTGTCCCAGTGGCCAAGGCTCCAGCCCTTCTGGGTCTCCTTCCCACCACCCACACTCCATCCAGGAGAATCTGAGGCTTTAGGGGCGATTTTAAAGGCCCACATTCAGGGAGCCTGCCAAGGGGCCTCCAGAGCTTGGACCTGGGGCTCAGGGACTGTCACTTCTGTCCAGGATGAGGCCTGTCTGGGGCTCATCACCCCCTCCATTCTGGCCCCCAGTCCCTCCTTGCCCATCCCCACTACCAAGCAGTGAAGGAAGCAAAAGGAAGGCCTGTCTTCAGGTCCATGTCATCAGAGACGTGGGGAAGAATAGCCCTGAATGATATCTTCACTGAGATACCATGGCCCAGAGTCTCAGGCATAGCAGCCCCAGTGTGCACCCCTAGGCTCAGCTGCCAGGAAGCAGGCACCTGAGAGAGCCTCCGTCATCCCCAGCCTCCCTGGCACTCAGGCGCTGGCCCCAACCTGGCCTCCACCTGCCTCCGGGCTCTCAGCGGCTGTCCTCGCCAACCCAGCCACGCTGGCTTACCTGGGGCGGACGCTGTGGTGGCTTCCTGGGCTGCCGGGCACCTGTCTCCTGCACACAGGCTGCTCCGGGCGGCCTTTAATCAGTGCCCTTTAATCAGCAGCCGTGGCCCGCCCTCAGCCGCCTGTTGGGCAACGAGGAGGCCCGAGGCCGCAGGACCTGTGTGGCCGGCTCGCCATCCTCTTACTCGCTAACAGCCACTGGATACACACACACCCGTGTTGACAGATCGGGAAACAGGCTCCCCAAGGAGAATCTCGGCCAGCCCATCGGCCATGGGCCGAGAACGTGTCGTCACAGGCATGAGGAGGAAGTGCGAGCCTCCCGCCCAGCCGTGTCTGCAAGTCTGAGCCAGCCGGGCCGCAGCAGCTGGGCTTGGCCAACCTGGGTTTGATGCCCAGCCCCACGCTGGGGCACCTCTCACAGAGGCATGAGCCCCCGCCCCCCCTTCTCTAGGGCACAGTCCTCCTTGTCATAGAGGACCAGGCTGCCTCTTGTGGGGACAGTGACCTTGGAGTTGGAAAGCAGCACCCACACACACCTTATTCGGCCATGAAGGCGAAGGGTGCACTCTAATGATGGGGCCTTAGTAGCACCCCCGTGACTAGGGGCTCTTCCTCACCCACCATGTGGCCAGAAAGGGGAAATGGCATCTGCTTCCGGGGTACAATGACCCACAATATCTAAGGAGCCTGTAGCATGGACTTCCGGGTTATGGCAGGGAGGCAGGAGGCCCAGCCCTTTGAGCCATGTGGGTTCCGGCTGAGCCAATCCCTCCCCTCTGAAGGAGCAGGGGGAGGGGGCTGTCCCAATATCATCTAAAGCCTCAGGACCGCGGAAGCAGAGGTGAAGCCCAGCCCCTCATCTCCGGGCTCCAAGGCCTGCCCAGCCCACCAGGTTCGGCCAAGAGTGAAGGACACAGTTAAGGTAAGAGGCAGGGGAGGCAGCAAGGCCATCCCTGGTCAGGGAACCTCATTCTGGAGCAAGACATGCCAGCAGTTGGCCTGTCAAGTTGTTGGCGCACCTGGACAGTGGTGACCTTGGGCCTGTCTGTCCTCCTACATCCCACTGTAACTGTGTAGGGGATGCCCCAGGCAGGCAACTAGGGTTCGGGGAGGAGGGAGCTTGAGTAGGAGGAGGCCTGGCACCCAGCTCCCAGGAGCCTCCGCTTTGCAGCACCCACAGGAGACTCGGGGAAGCAAAGGCCCAGCTGCAGGGAACGGGGCAGAGGTGCCAGTGAGGCTGGTGGAGGCCACCCACCCCAGGCCTGCGGAGACGGGGGCCCCACCAGTTGTGCCTGTTCTTGTGCTGGGAGGAAGGGAGGTGACTGTGACAGGCACACTGCTCAGGAAGATACTGGGTCACCCTGAAAAGCCCAGAGAGCAGCTTCCTGGACAACCAGTCTGGTCACCAGCAAGAATTCCCCCGGATGTACCAGGCGCCCTGGGGAGGAGGAAAGAGGGAACATGGGCTGGGTCCACTGGATCCCCGATGTCGTGGGTGCAAGGGACGGGGATGAGGGACTGCGAGGACCCTGAGACTAATGAGACCCTGAGACTGATCACAGGAGGGGCTGCAGCTGGGCAGGGGGCAGGCTGTGGTCATAGGTGGCCAGGTGTCATGGCAACGTGGGGATTTCCAGCACTTGGTATCGCCAAGCGTGGCAGGGGGTAAAGTGAAGCACTAGGATCTGCTCGTGCCTATGCAGACCAGAAAGGAGTGGAGCAGGGCCAGGCCCCCCAGGACGGCAGGTGTGGCCCAGGCCCCTGGGATCGCCAGGATGTGAAGAAGGGAGGACTGGGCAGCAGGCACCACAGGCCACTCAGCCGGGGCCAGCCAGCAGGAGGAAAGAAGGAAGGAGGCCGTCACGCAGAGTCATGGGAGCAAAAAGCAGGCGAGAGGCAATTTCTTCTAACCTACGGTTTCCTTTTTCTTCAGCTCACATTACCCCACCCCCTCCCGACTTTCCCCCCTTTCCACCCGCACCCCCACAAGGAGCTGAAGGATCATGCATTTGAAGGCTATGCCTGGAGAACATGAGGGTTATAACTGCTTCCCCTGCCGATGGCTCGGTCACCCCGATCACCCCGGCTGCCTCTTCAGAGAATCACTTCCAGATCGAAGCCTTCTTCGAGTCTCTTTTTCAGACTCACGCTGAAGAGCTTATACTTCTGGATTAGTTCTTCCATTTTGGAGGCTGCAGAGCAAAGAAAAATACAAACCACAAAGTGAATCTAGCGCCCCCCCCCATGGCCATCAAAGCGCTTACGGCCAAGGCGGGGGGAGGGGGGAGGAGTGGGGGACATGGGGCTGGTTCCCACAGTGAACCAGAAACAGCTGAACCAGTCATTGAACGGAGAACAGAGAGGGCCACGCAGATGGAAAGGGGGTGGGGGGACAGGTTGTTGTGACTCGAAACACAAATCAAATGACATGGTCCTTAGTGGTGACCTGCTGCTTTGCCTTCAGGGGCGGGGGACACTGCCACAACATGCATCTGCCTCTCAAGGTACCAACTTCAGATGACCACCGGGCATGGAACGGCGGGGGGGGGGGGGGGGGGAGGGAGGAGAGAACTTGAGCTTGCTCCTCTCCCCCACGTTGAGTATGGGGGTTTCCCTGGCGGTGGCGCCTTAACTTAAACACACCCCTCTTCTTTCCTCCACCAGCTTGCTTCCCTGCCTCCTCGCCCATCCACATGGCAAGGCAGTTAATTGGCATTTGGTCCTGCCTGTCCCAAGGGTGACTCTGAAGCTCAGGAATCATGGGGTGTGCCTCCCGGTGACTGGCCCCAGGGAGAAGCTAGAGCAGGCAGACTCCTGGCAGAGCTGGGACCAAGCTTGGCCCACCCCTAGATGGTTCCCGAACACCCTCCCCACCTGACATTGATGCTCTTGCTGGCGTTGCCATAGGGCTCTTCCTAAGTCAGCTTGGGTGTCATCTGCCTTTATGGGATCCTTAGGTTTTCCCAACCTCTAGACCCTCTAGCCCAGCGGTCACCAACTGGTGGTCTGTGGACCACTCACTGGTGGCCCATGAGGTCCAAAAGGTTGGCGGCCGCGGCTCTAGCCCATTCCTCTCCCTAGGCCCTGCCCTAGTTGATAAATTAGTTAACATGTCTCCCCTCTGTCCCAGACTCGGGTCACTACCTGGCCCTGTGTTGGCTGAGCTAGGCTGGGTCTCAGATCCTAGGCCAGAAGCCCTAAGCCCTCTGGAGGCCGCAGGCTTTCTCTCTGGAAGCTTTGTAGCCCAGCCCTACATCCCTACTACTCTGGATTTCAGAAGGCTGGTGGGCCTGGGCACATCCCTTTGGTTTCACCTATTCTAGGCTTGGAAACTGGAGACTCAGCCCCTCAGCTCTGTGCGCCTGTTCCTTCACTGGTATCCTCCATCCTCCACTGTCTCCTTCACCCTCCATGTTCCTTCCTCTCTTTCTCTGGAGAGCTTGCTAGACACCTGGCTCGGGCCTCTGCATTACTTCTGTCTTCATTTTCTTTCTCTGTTTTCTTTCTACTCTTAGACATTTGTCGCCTCATTTTGTTGTCTACCTTTCTATTGACTTTTCAACAGCCTGGCAAGCCTTTTTAACTTGTAGAGGTGTTTGCTTGTTTTTCTGCACTTTGCTGTTCATCTGGACATGATATAAGGCTGCACTGAATGTGGTCAATACGTTCTGGGACTCTAGTAAAACGAAACCAATTCTACCATAGGCTGAGGGATAAAATAGCATCTCATCAATATTCTAACAAAAGGACATTGTTCGAGGACCTGCTGTATTGAGTATGCGAGCTCATTTCTCTGAAAGGTCCATTAGCCCAACTTTCCAGGTCTTCTGTCTTTCATGGCGCTGGCCCTGCTGTGTTCTGCTGGAGTCTCCATTCCCTGCAAGGTCTGCCCTCCACCAAAGGAGCTCTGTGGGGGCGGAGCAGCAGGCGCAGATGGGGGTCAGCCCATGCCATGGACCCTCAGAGGCCAGAAACAGGTGGACTTCATCTGGGTTGCTGCATGGGTTTGCCATTCATTCATCTCAATAGGGTCCATTTCACTGGGAGCACCAACCTGTAAAGACCTGCTTGGCTGTCCCCCTCTGCTTCCGGCCTACTTGCCAATGCCCCTCTCCAGGGCTGTGGGCTACCAGGCACACACACAGCTCCAATGCTGCTTCAGGCTGGCCTTCTGGCTGTGGTTTTCTCCATCCCCTGCATCCATCAAATCGCTCCCATCCACTTTCTAGCTTCCACAAAACTGCTACAATCTCGATTTCTCTATGCTGGTGCTGTTAACTCCCTCCCTCAGTCCCAGCACAGACAGGGATGCTTTGTTTTCTAAGTGCAATGACATTTTCATGGCACTGGGGACTCCAGAGGCCTGGGA